GAGGGAGGAAGAGGCAGGTGGGGGGGCCGGTAGAAGGGGGGGCCGGTAGAAGTTGGGGGGGGGGAGGAGGAGGCAGGCGGGGGAGCCGGTAGAAGTGAGGGGGTGGAGAAGAGGCAGGCAGGGGAGCTGGTAGAAGCCCTTCTGTTGGCACAATCCAGTTATTGCATTGGCCATCACCTCTGTGTACTACGTGTCCTGGGTGTGTTTTTTTAGGGGTATAAGCACATGCCCTGCCCCCCACCCAGCATGTGCAGAGATCACCTCTTCCTTTTCCAGGAGCACCAGCCCCCACATCCACCCTACTGCACTTTGGACCACGACTTCAGCTGCCCCTGGGAGGGAGGGAAGTTGACAGCTGGGGAGCTGAGGGGCAGCCTGTGTCCTCAACAACTTGGGCTCCGCCCCCTGCAGTAGTTTCCTCACCGACTATCAAGTTACATTCAAGCACCCAGGGGACTAAGCCCACCTCATCTAAAGCTGCAGGCTGAGGCCTGTGGTCAGCAGGTCCATGGAACTTTCTCAGCCAGAAGGGTAAGCTCATGGATGTAGAGAACAAGAGCTTTCCCAGTGGCTGCTGTGAGCCTCTAGAGTGAACTGCCTGAGGAAGGAGGGACTTTCCCAACCCTCACCCTCTTCCACTCCCACCTGCCAGGTGCACTTCTACAGGCTGCCATCTCTACCACAGCCAGAGCACAGAGGATATTTAGAAAAAAACCAAAACAAAGTCCTCTATTGCACACAGTTCTCCCCTGGTGATAAAAACTAGTGCAGAATAAAGTAACCTGCCTAACTCCCACCATAGGTCTCACTGAGATAGGACTTGAACCCAGGTCACTTGAAGTTCAGTCCACTACTCAATTCTTGTCTTGCTACGGTCAGAACCCACTTTCTCCTGTTCCAAAAGCAGAGGCTACTGGCACTAAAGACAAAGCATCGTTATCAGAGGGGCAGCCCTCTGTGTCACTTTTTACAGAGCCAGACTAAGTCCTGGGGCACCTTATAGACTAAAAGATGTATTGAAGCATAAGCTTTCGGGGTGAATAGCCACTTCGTCTAAGTGGTCTAGTCGGTACATCTAGAAGTGGTACATATTAGCCTATTCATGTATAGTATCAAGTCAAGTCTTGTCCAGAAAGCAAACGAACAGAGGCAAATCCTAACACTAGGCTTTAAATCCCTACACAAATGAAGGTAGATATGAAGCAGAAGGGTTTTTCCACTTACATGATGTCCATTTTGGGGTCCCAAAACAGGCATAAGGCAGCCCTAGGACCCTGCCCTAAGGAAGAGCCTGGGCAGGGATAGGGCCTGTTCTACAGCCCCTGAAAGAGAGAGTGCTGTTGGAGGACGCCTGGTCACAGGAGAGGGTTCTCATGACAGCCGTTCCCCGGCAGTGCATAGGGGCTATTGCAAGCAGGGTGCAAGTGGGATCAGCTGTGACAGTTCCCTTGACCGTCAGTGAGGTGTACATCCTCCCCTGGCAGCTCCAGGCTAGGGAAAGCACAGCCACCTTCCCCACCCTCACATGCTGATAGATGAATCACCCTCCCCCACTCTACAAATACTACAATTACACTGCATTGCAGGTTCTCATTCCTCTGGTTTTTAAAAAGGAGTGGCTGCTGTGTTTCAATTAACACACACCAGCACAAAGAATGTTCTCTTCCCTCCTTCCCCTTTTTAAAAGAAAAACCTCAACTCCAACAGGCATTTTTCCACAGCTCTGCCTTCTGCTTGGGGATTGGTAAAGGGACCACATCCTGCATTTAGCAGCATGAGATGTTCCATTTGCTTTTCTTCAAATTAAATCCAGAGGTTTGGGAAATACCGATGCAGAATCTCTGTGCACCTGTAGAAAGCAGGATGGGGTTGGAGTTGTTCTGTAGAGATTCACCTTGAAGATAGACTTTTAGAAACCATTTCAGTGTTCAATGTTCAGAGCATTTTACCAGCTTGCACCTTCAAACTACTTGGTTTACTGCAATTACCCTTTAGAAACTCTGAAGCTGTTCTTACTGTCTAGCAAGAATGGTTACCTCCCGCTGGGCTGAACCTACACATCTGCAACTCTTTATTTTTAAACACAGAGCCTGCAGATGAGAACAGCTTTGACTTCCTCACTAGGTCCACCTTAGTGGGAGTGCGGAAGGAACATTGCCTCTCACTGACAGATACAGGGTTTGTACGCCGATTGTCAGTGTGGTCATGTTGTTTCAAGAGGCACAGGACTCCCCCAGATTTAGAAGCATCAGAAGTGGCTCCATGAAGTTGAATCCCAATTAAAAAAAGCTTATATTTAAACATTCCTGTCTGCAACCCGAACTGTGCTACCAGGCAAGAACCAGCAAGTCCCACTGACCTGTATATTGGCATGATTGAAGAGGATTGGGGCAATAACTCGGGGAGGTATATTTATTAGAACTTAATTTTAACAGTGATACAGAAACTGCTTTGTGATTCTAGAACCCAACTCCATCCCTTAAATTTAAGACAGGGCTTGTAGCTCCTAGTCCCACCTCCCTAATATTAGAGATCATCATGGAGGAACACTGAAGGATCAACTATACTGGTGGGGTTCTGGAGAAGAAAAATATAAGGAGGCAGTGAATGCTTTTTAAATGCGTGTAGTCCCTGCCTATAATAGACAGGACCCTCCCTAAATGATCTCTGCTAAATATACCCATGATATTGCCAATTGTAAAAATGATCTTGTCCACTCAGTTCCAAAAGTCCAGCTTCTGGAACTAATTAGATTGTGAATAAAGAGCTCTTATGTAATTTAGTGTCTCCACATTGTCCATAGACTGGCAACAAAACCAGAAGTTCTTTAGGAACAACTACAGGTTAGACAAGAGATGAAATACTACTGAGGGAAGTGGGGGGGTGTATTTTTCCTCTGGTTATCCAAACTTGCTGTTACTTATCCAGGGAGAATGCGCTCGCACTGGTCTACATACAGCTCCCTGGCATTCAGGATCTTAACCCAAGTCAGTTAGGTTATCTTCTGCTTTCTGTGAGCACAAATCCAAACATTTCACCCTCATCAACAGGACAACCCAGAGCCCTCAGAAAGCTTTGGGTATTTTTGTAGAGAACTAGTACACCATGTATCCTAATCTGTCTAGGTGGCTGTGGAGTATATTGCAGGAACCAGGCCAGCTCTAGCTAGAACTAAAGACAAGGCTCCGTAGGTTTCAATGCTAGCTTCCCCTTTCTGTAGTCATTTATTCCTCACTGCTTCTGTCTCCTTTCAGTAAGGATTCTTTATTCAAATAATCCCAGCCTTGAGTGGAATGCAGACTGGTGAAAGGAGTACTCCAGCAGGGCACCCCATCAAGTTTTAATTGCACACCCGAGGAGAGGGGTGAAGTATGTCATTCAGTGGGCAGGCAGGGGGTGCGGAGAAATGAATGCACTAGCAATTTATGAGAAGCCTAGTGTTCCATCAGGAGGCCAGTTTTCCATCTTGCTTCCCTGAATCATAGAGCTAGCTTGTAATCCATGCAGAGCATATATATATAAAAATCATGGTCTTTTTCTTGCAGCAATAGGAGCCATGACATGTCTCAAACCACAGCACTGAGTGATAGAGGTTGCAATGCTCTGAACAGGCCCCAGCGACTATTACCCACTCTATTTGGAGTTAAATGATGGATTTACAGATTAACAGCAAAGAAAGCTATTCCTGGGGCAGCACATGTACAGGTGTGCTTGCTGGTGTCTAGTTGCTATTTCTCTTCTCCACACAGTTTGGCCTGGTGGACAACCTTTCCCCCAGAGTCTGCAGTATGGCAGGTGTGGGTCAGAGACTGTGGTGTTGGCAGAGCTGCAGATGGAGTGACTTGCAATGTCAGGAAGAGATTGCTTATAAACATGAATTCGAACAATCAAAAATAGTGTTTTAAGGCTACTTGGCATGTTAGTTTAAAGACTTCCCCATCTCTCCCTGCCAAAAATACTCAAACTCATGACTGAGGTTACATCAGAAGGTGGTAACAGCTGAAGAGTTGGGAGCAGTTTGGAACTCTCCTAGGTAGCAGAGCGTTCCCCCACTGCAATATCAAATTCTGATTTAAGAACAGCTGGACCAGAGGGACTCAAGGTTTCAAAAAAATGCAGTACCTTGTTCACTGCACTTTCCTCTAATAAATCTGACATATGTTCTCTGAGCTGAGGCCTGCAGCTTTCCCCAGCTCACTGGGTAAATGGTTACCTGGCCTAGTGAGGTTCCTCTCACGTTTTCAATAAGCCTTTGCTACCAACAGCTGCAGAGCTCTCCCAGTGCAGCACTAAAATGCCACGACCAACTTCAGGGAGTTAACGTGAAGTAGATTGCTTCATCCTACTGCACGAGCTGCAAAACAGAGTTTATGTACGTAGGCGTTTTCCTCCACGCTGGCTGCATTTCCTCTCCACCGCCTAATTTAGAAGCTGTATTCATACTGCTAAGATGAGCACACATCTTCAATACATTACAGAGAAGCAATTTTAACACTAGCTGCTATTTCGCATTACTGGCAAGAATGTAGAAAGTTAGTCCTAAGCCTAAAAACAGTACAAGGACCACTTGAGGTATAGCACACTAGTGAGTCTCTTACCTAGCACATGCTCTGCAGGGGAGCTACAGCACGTCTAGCGGATAGTGGTAAATAGTATTGAACCACTCCCTTTGCTGGCAAGCCCACGTTCAAAGCTGAAGGTAACTTATCAACAGATAGAGGCCATTGTAGCAGAAAATGCAGTCGATCCGGCTTATTTGTCATTTCAGTGTCTGTCGATTAAACTATGCAAAGATTCCAGTCTAGACTAAATACACTCAAACCCCAAAGAAAGAGAAAAGGAGCTTTGGATACCTGGAATAATAATAATAATACTTTTTTTTTACTGGCAACACCAAGATCTGCAAAAAACTTTGAACACAAGACAAGAAAAACTCCAAGGCTAACATTCCTCCTTTAAGCTTTGCAATACATACATAAAATACAAACTTCAAACAGCTGCAAAAATAGTGTCTTTGGAAGAAAATAGAGTTTCTACATCAGATACAAGAAAATAGGCTTCTTCAATACAACCCAGAGCCTTAGCAACAGAACACAAATCAAATACTTTCATTTTCAAGAGGCATTACAATCCGAATTCCCCATGTTATAGTTTCACCTTATAAGGCTTTGTGCTGGGATAAGCATCGCTGGGTCTAGCAAGATCTCAGACTCCAGCCCAGTTAGGATGATCTTATGTCTGTGCATAAAGTTTTTCTGCGGTGAGACAAAATGGTTCTGATCCCCAACTCCACCCCTGCACATGCAAACAATACCAGAACCAGTCAGGTTGTCTACAGCATTCGGTTGGAAAGCAGCATGTAACATCTCTACTAGCAGCAACCTTCCACAATTCCGTGGAAGCCTTTTGTATGCTGCTCGGACTTCGATTTCCATCTTCTTCCCCTGAAAAAAGGCGGTGGGGGTCTGAGAGGCCCTCCGCTACCTACCAAGCCATGCAGACAGCTCCACAGCAGCACCTCTCTCCTTATTCATCCTCTGGCATGGAAGAAGCTTCCCAGAGTACAGGTCTTCTGCAAACAGAGGTCCCTGAAGGTGCACTGGCAGGTATCTGATCTGCATTCTCTATCTTTGATCAGCAAGGCATTCCAAGAGGCTCCTGAAAGCTCTAGGTGGCTATTTCAAAGGGTTCGGATATCCAGTAGTGGAACTGTCTACAGTTCACTTCCAAACCCCTCACGTCTTTCTCGTCTGTATTTGGGTGTTCTGAGTGGCTCAAGCTGCCTTTGATAGAGTGCAGATTCATTGTCAAATTCTGCCCAATACATTCAGATCGCTGAAATCAGCTAAGCCAGGTTCTACCAGCTCTCCAGGAGGCAGCCAAGCTACTGGCCTCCCTCCCTCTGGGTGCAGGAAATCCATGTGACAACTGTGGGGATGAGAAGTGCTAGGAAACTCCCATGTCCCCTGAATACCTGCAGCAAGGAATTTCATTTACAGAGCCAGGTAGCTTGAATTACAATGCTGCCCACCAGCAGCAGTGTCCCAGCTGCTCTTTGACAGCAAAACAATCATACAGGAAAAAAAATGACATTTCAACACAGGAGAGGAAAGTGCTTTAAGTACTGGGGGGCTCGAAGAAAGGAACCACTCCAGCAGCAAAGAGTCCTGTGGCACATTGTACTTAAGTTTTCACCATCATTCTGGAGGAAACTTGCTGTGGTTTTCAATCCCAAGGCTGCCCATCTAACCCTCAAGTCCCAACTTCAAGGCACCACAGGCTGTTTAAGATGCACTGAAGGACCACAGATGCTTTGCTGTGCCGGGTCTCCCAACGGCCTCAGACCACAAGAGAGCTATGAAAGAGGACACTCTCTTCTGTCTGGGTGCGCTTCCAGTGTTCAAAGTTCAGTGGAGGCGAATTAGAGACCTTGTGAAAGCCATCTGCTGCGGAGTCTTTCCGCGACCCAAGGAATGGGCCTGGGGCAGTGGACTGGCAGGAGGTGAAGGTGCCTGGTGGCACGGGGCTGGGGGTAGTAGGGAAACTTCTGAACAAGAAGCCCATGTTTGGAAAGAGAGGCTTTACCAGACTGACCGGACAAAAGGCAGAGCCAGTTGGGTTGAAGTGGACTTTGTTCTTATCAGGACAGGAGGGCAGAAAATTCTGATCAGGGCTGGGGGATCTGAAGGAGGGAGAGAAACAAAAGGAAATGGGTTAGGAATGGAGCCCTCAGAGCGCATACAGCTGTTCAAGCAATTGCCACTTTAATAGTATATGCTTTTTGTGGGGAGGGCAGAGACTCCTACTGTCTTAACCCTTCACAAGCTGGCCACTTTCCAGGCAGGGAACAGTCTCTTTAGTTCTTTCAGAAACACAAAGGAAGCACTCGGCCAGCAACGAGTGAGGGCTCCGAGCAGCTGGGTAGACCAAGACTCTAGGGATAGGTCTACACTATAAATGTACATCGGTAACTGCACCACACGGGGTGTGAAAAATCCACACTCCTGACCAATGCAGTTATAATGACCTAACCCCTGGTGTACACAGCGCTACATCAAAGGGGTCTGCCATTGACAGTTAATCCACCTCCACGAGAGGCGGTAGCTATGACAGGAGAAGCTCTTGGTGCAGTAGCATCTTCACTGAAGCACTACAGTGGTGCAGCGTTTTAAGTGTAGACCTGCCTGAGAGGGAATGAGATCCAAGTCACCCTTGACAATGGTAGGAAACCTCATTGGCCTCTTCTTGCTTGCCCTCCCTACAGTTCTCAGCTCAATGGTTGAGCCGAGAACTGGAGACCAGTAGAAGGGAAACAGGCTGACCAGGAGCAAACATCCAGGGAACTGTGGGTGGTTATGGGAGCAAACAAGCAGGCTGAGCAGGAAGGGTGGCTAATAGCACAGGTAAGGTCAACAGCTCCATCCTGCTGGGGGTTGGGGAAAGCAGAGTTGGTTTATTTGAGGGCCAAGCGGGCATGTTGGTTAGGTACGCAAAGTGCTTGTGTGTGTGTGGTGGGAAGGCAGTTGCCACCAGTCGTCTTCACAGAAGAGTCCTCCAGTGTGTCAGAAGCACTCTGGTTCGTTGCTTCTGCACCCAACAAGAGGGCAGCACATCTAATGTCTGTATACTTCCCAAGAGTTTTTCCTTGGAGTTGGGGCAAGGAGGGGGGAGCGACAGTTACGCAGTACAATGTAGGCAAGGGAAACTGCATAAGCCTTGGCACACTCATTTAAACTCTCCCTCAAGACATCGTCCCTTCTCATACTTACAAAGCCTCTTCAAAGGCCCGGACTTTTTCACATCCCTCAGGAGGTTCCCGTTTAAACATGTAGCTGTGGTTAGGTCGAGGAGATGAGGCAAAGGCCAGGACTGGAGAGGGGCTACCATCCTCTAGCAGGGAAGGAAGACTTTTTTGAGAAGATTCTAGAAGAATTCAACAGAGTCCTTTTAAATCAACACAGGATAAGCTCCCTGAGATCACAGTAGTGTCCTAAAAAGTCCTGGCACCAGAACTGCATTCAGTTACCAACTTGTATCCTCCGTTAGCCTGGTGCTGAGAATTCCCAAGTGATTGAGGGAAAAAACCCCTGCACATAAGATTCCTTGCAACTCTAATTGGTTCCAGCACCTACTCAAAGACACCCCACCCCACTCTCCCCATCTCCTATTTAACTTCTGGGCTCCCACAAGCCCAATTCAAAAGACACTGGAGGTGGAGAGAGCTGGGTTGCTACACTAAAGGGTTAATGCGTTCACATTCCCATATCGCCCTATGCTGGGAGAAGGCGGTTGCTGAGCCTAGCTCCTGCCGTTTACCTTTCTCCTTGGGGTCAGGCAGTGGCTCGTCCAGGGCAGAAGAAAGCTCCTCTGTAGCTGCTCTTGCAGGGGTGTGTGGAGAAGATCGGAGAGGCACAGAAGGGGATGGGGAAAGAGAAAGGCTGCTGCAACTGCTACTGCTGGGTTCCAGAGTCAGCAGCAGAAGATCCTCAGAGCCTCTCTGGGGAGGGGCTGGTGCCCTGTGGCCGTCTGGAACATCCAGAATCTAGAGGGAGGAAAGCTTAATGAACAGAAACCCCCAACCTCAGCCCCCTTTCACGCAGGCAGGCAGAACTTACAAGTAGCATTTAGATCTCCGTGGACTGAAGCAATCCTACTGCTCCAGACCATGCACTTTGGGATTTATACGGGCAAGGGCGGATCATATACCCACCCAGAACACATGGAGGTGCTGAATTAGAGAGTCATTTCTCTACTAGCCTTCAGACAAATTCCCTCTCCCTGCCAGTTTAATGCCACACCCCCTTAGGCAAGGATTCAATATTTAAGCTGCAGCAATGTCCGGATACTTTAGTCAGGCTGAGGGCCTTGCTGGACACAGACAGAGCCTGGCCCAATACAAAGTCAACCCTTGCTCTGAAGAGTTTATGTAATCTTAGACAAGCAACATACAAATGGGGAGGGACAGGCAACTATGCAGAACTGGTATAGGCACAATCCTTTAGATTAAAAGCTTTCTGTGTAGGGACTTCTACATATGCACAAGGAGGCCCTGATTCGGACTGAGACCTTGGGACACTACCATCATTTACTATGATTTTTAAAATGAGGGTGCATATTCTCAACACTATAGTTAACTGGCTGATTTCTTAAGTGTCTCAGCGGCAGTGGGTTTGAAGAGGGATGTGGAGCAGAGGGGCAGCCTTATGGCTCAGCTCTGCGACGGAGTTCCATACCCAAAGGGCCCAAGTAAGAAGGTGGAGAGCTGACAAATGAGCAGATAATCATAACATCCATTGGCAAAGCAATTGTAAGAATTTCAGAACTTCCTTGGTTGCTTCCTATAGTTTTAATGACAAACACAAACCCATGAAGAAGTGGTTAGGGCAGTGGTTTGGGACTCAAAAGACCTTGGTTCAGTTCCCTGCTCTGCCACAGACTCTGTGTGACCATGTGAAAGTCACTTAGAGTTGGATTTTAAGGTATTTAGGCACCTAACTCCAACTGAAACCAATCGGAGTTAGGTGCCTAAATCTTTAAAAATCTACAATTACAAAATGATGGATTTCATGATCCCCAGGAAAGGACAGGAGTGTGAGCAGCAGAACAAACAATGGGCTTGTTAAAAAACAAAAACAAAAAAGGGGCAGACAAACTGAGGAAAACTTTTCGGTAAAGTCCCATGGGAAGAAAATGAAGGGAGAAAGGAGTTCAGTAGAGTTAGCATTTTCACAGGGAGACAGTATTAGA